CAGTTTCTCTTTGTCTGTAATTATGGTGAGCATTTCTCATACGAGGGAACAAGTCATGTAACCTAGGTGGCGGAGAGTTGCTGGAGACCCTGCCCATGTCGTTCACTGAAAGTTATAAGTACAAGATAATTGAGCAATCTGTGGAGATTAACGTCACTCCTAGAAGAGGTCCAGGAGGTAGAATAGCAGTTTTACCACTCATAAGAAGATAAAACACATTTCTCCACAACTATCACAAAATACTCCAAGCTGTCCATAGATTTGATGCACACCTGAATGAAGGACAACTTCTAATCAGGGACCAGAAAGTTTCCATAGTTACAGTGTAAGCTTCATACAACCACCTAAGAAAGTGAAAAAGTGAGTGGAAATGTCCGCGTCACATTTTACCCGGTGTGTGTAAACTGTATATATGCTATCATTAGTGCTATTGTTTCTACCTGGAAAATATAGTTTTATCTAGAGCACTTTCTTGACAAATGATGAGTTGAGTCCTAGATCAAGCCGTAATAATATCCTATATTGCACCTTCACCTGCTTTTACTCCATATTTTTCTCCTTGATCACTGCATCCACTCACCTTTGCTAGGTTTTATTGTTTGTCCTTTCCCATGTGTCTCTTCCTGTTTCTGCCGTCCAATCCGGTGGGTCATCAGTCATCTTGTGAAGAGTGAAGCTAAAGTTATATTACAACAACACTATGCAATCACTGTTAGAGAAAAAAAAAAACGATAAAGACAAACTCAAAAGCCCAAGCTAAATTGGATTGTTTGCGTTTACCACTGGAATACCTGGCAAGGTTCAACATCCGAAACAGGTGGACATCTATAGAAGTGACAAGATTAACCGTTTGGAGAGTTTAAAACCTCTTAAACTGCCTACATTCTGTTTTGGGCTCGTGCACAAAAAGTTGGCATACCTAATGTCTTTAGCTTATTTAAAAACACATCATACAATCTACATGCATGTGTGATGGCATCATTTTAAAAGCTAGGCCCTATCCTAGTTTATGTAAACTATACACTGGGAAACTAATGTAGTGTCATACTTATTTCCCTCTGCTCCTAGGCCGTTTGGAAAAAAAAAAACCTGTTTTTTTATAGCCATGCCTAAAAAAATTCCCTGTATAACTGCCCTAAAAAAAAGCTCTTTTTCATTGGAAGAAGAAATTTAAACGCCAATTTTGTTCCATGTGTTTGTTGACAACAACTGTGTAACGTTTCAGACTTCTAGTTTTTATAGTTCTTCAATGCAGTTTCTCTTTTTTATCAAGTCAGGTACATTCTGGAACCAATTTGGCAAAATTTGATGGAGTCAGTGGAAAGCATGGTCCCGTGCTGGGCTCGAACCCACAAACCTTCAGGCTCAAAGGCAATGGTCTACAACTGAGCCATTTCACCTCTCCTAAGAGAGATGACACCCTCAATAAGATATCTTTTTAACATCTTGTCTTTTAGTAGCATACACGTTACATTTACTTAGCATCAACAGAATTTGTATAGAGCTGATACATCCCAAACCCCCGTACTGTATTCTTCATACTGGTGATGGGTTTCTTGTCTGCGTTCTTGTTATATGAAAATGTTAATAACACTGTTAAAATGTGATGATGTGGAAGCCAGTGATTGATGCCTCCGTTTCTGGCTGCTGTCAAATGGCACATGCAATGTTAGGCTGGACAACATCAATCTGAGCTTTGACAGGGACAGTGATGCAGGAGGTCGAGGCTACACACACCCACACACGCACGAACGCCCACACCAAACAACACATTAAAGCCTTATGACGCGGTTTGATTTAATTACCCCTCGCAGGAAATGGTGTAGTTACGTGACTCCCATAGAATATTATAAAACAAATCTGTAAGAGTACCACAGTTACAGTGCACTGTGGTATTCTTACAGCTTGGGGATGGACCAATGAGGAGCGACGCCGGCATCAGAACTGTAACAATAGCACATTTTCAGACGGAACGGATCTATATCAAAATCGATGAATTTACGTGATTTTCAATGTATACGATTGAAGGTAACCACGCACGAGCATTCTGTACAAGGGTAGTCAAATGGTCAAATTTGAAATCACAATTGTTTTTGAGGGGCGAAGATCTACGTGTTATTATGGCGAACTGTAACAATAACACATATTTTTAAGGGACCAAAAAAAAGATCGCTCAATTTCGTAAATGAAGCCATTAGGAACCATTTTATTTAAAAATAACGAAATACAAGTGTATATTTCTCGCTCAAAATTGTGAAATAAGTTGACTTTAGTCTCTAAATAATACTATAAACCGCAGTTTTGGACTATAATTATGAGAAATGTCGGCCATTTTTATTTCCTCCCTCGCAGGAAACGGTGTGGTCACGTGACTCCCGTAGAATAACATTGCAATAAAATATGTAAGAGTGCCACAGTTTCAGAGCCCAAACTGTGGTATTCTCACAGTTTAAGAGGTGGACCAATGTGACTATTACACAGTTTTCTGAGAGAGTGGGTTGGTCTATGCGGTCTCTCTTCGGTCCGTGCTGGTCTCTGCGCACCGGTCTCTCCAGTCAGGTCTCTCCAGTCAGGTCTCTCCAGTATGCGGTCTCTCCTGTCCGCGCTGGTTTTTGTGTGCTGGTCACTCCAGTCTGTCCTCGGGTCTGCATTGGTCTCAGCGCTAGTCCGCGCTGGATCTCCTCCCATAGGGTCCAAAATATTTTGAGATTCATTTTTAAATGAATACATAATATATTTTGAAATTAAGCTCATAACATTTTGAGATTAATCTCATCATATTTTTAGATGAATCTCATCATTTTGCTAGTTCGACTTTATTCTCATAATATTTTGACTTTTAAGTCAACATTTTATAACTTTATTCTCAGTCTGGCAAAAGAAGAAAAAAGGGTGACTCTTTTTCTCCGTAACTCTTTGCTTTAGGCAGGCCTCTGGCGTCTGCACACGGCCCTGCAGTCCCTTATATGGGCATTAATGGGCTAAGTACCTATGCTAATGAATCACCGGGCACGCGCGCTCTACTTACGAGGAAATGGCATTCGTCAATCTTAGAGAACAGCTGCGAACAATTCAGCGCCTTACAAGCGCGTTGATGAATCCCACATAGGGTCTTCTTAGAAATCTACTTAAGAACGACTTGAAAAGAAATTTAAGAAGTTTCTTACGAAGTTGTTCGTGAATGAGGCCCAGTGTTCGTTTTAAAAACCATAAAACCTCGAGGCCATTCTTTTAAACGAAAACATAATTTTTCTCTTCAATTATTCATGGCGCTGCTGATGGCAGACTTGAGGTGTGAGGCCCGTTTAAAATGGTCAACAGTTGAACATACAAACGCATTCTCCATTTCTCCCTCAAAACTATTTAGACCCCCCCTTCTCTGAACCCACATCTACCATTGAGAGTTTACTTGTTGGTTTGTTGGTCTGTGTGGTTTGGAAACATCACAGATAAAGAAAAGAGAGCTTTAAACAAGGTGCTCCGCTCTGCAAAGAGGACCGTGGGCTGTGAGCTTCCTGTTCTGGAGGTTCTTTATAAATCCACGCTTTTAAACAAAGCTCTTAGGATTGTCAATGACTCTTCTGGCCACCCTGGGAAAGCCATGTTCCAGCTTCTTTCCTCTGGCAGAAGATATCGCTCTCTGAGATGCAGGACATCTCGTTACGCTAACAGTTTTTATCCACAAGCTGTTATCAGTTTGAACAGAGCACTTATTTGCACTCGTTTTGAAACTGTTTTAGTCGAACAATTTCACAGTGACATTTGTTTACTGTTTTATTTGTTTTATTGTTGTCTTTTAATGTTGTTTTATGTCTGTATTTGTCTGTGCACACTGGTGACTTTTGCTAATGTATTCCTATGTGGTGTTTTTACTGCAAATGGTAAATAAACTGAATCTGAATCTACTCTACACATGCAGCATACAAAAACGTGCGCTCCCATTACTCTAAAAGCACAAACAGTTTTGTGCCGGACCTCATTACGTTTGCCGAATTTGTGTCAAGGTTGCGGCGTCCTCGCAGGTGCATATTCTCCCTGGGGCTGGGACGTGTGTGGGGTGTGTTAGCGTGTTTTAAGTCACGTTATGCAATGAGCTAGCTTCCCCTGCTCCCCCCGGACCCAAAGCCATTATAGAAATCACACTGTACCTCAGCAGCTCGGCCTGCATCGACTGCTCCGGTGCGCACAGCGGAACAGCACATCACAATGGATTATGTGCAAGTTTTTCCTTGACCGTCCGACATTTAGTCCGTCTGAGCTATTCAGGAATCAGTCAAAAGATAATCACTGCGCTTGTATCCAGGTCAATAATCTGTAGGCACCGTTTCGTTGGAATAGGGTTAACGAGGCAAAGCGGACATTTTTGTTGGTAAAACAAATAGTCAACGCTTCCAGCATTATCTATTAATATGAGTGGGATTGACCTGTGTGATGTCACTGCCGCTCTTCCATCTGTTGGAGGATGGCATTTATAAGTGGTCGGGTTAGATGACCACAAAGAAGAAATCATGCATTATTTTTCTCCATTTAAAATTATAGTGAGAGAATTCACTTTGTCATTCCATGTTTTAGAATGTGAAATGTCTTTAGAAAATAATCAGTGTAAAAATGCTGTTTTTTGATTTCAGAATCTCGTTGGTTTGAATGGGAGCCGTGAAAATGAGTGCTTTGGGAATTCTAGAAATGTTAGAATTCTGAGAGTCCGGGTATTAAAGAGATGAACATGTTCCATTGAATTATCAGGATGTGAGCAATAAGGTCGGAATGGTGTTGAATGTTGAGATATTGTGTCTTGCATCATACTGCATAACGTTGCCCCGCTGGAATGATGAAAGAGGAAAACCTGGACTGCTTGGCCTTGTATAGAATTACTCAATCACTCAGGCATCCATTAAAATAAAACCTTGAATAAAAATAATAGCATCAACGGGCCTTGCAGGTCAATATCGATTCATATTGACAAAAGACTCCATAGAGATTGGCTGCATGTACGCTGTGCCTTACCGTCCACACGGCCTCCTCAGACTGGGGTGAAAGTAAGTCAGCAAACCAGGAGACATGATGTTAACAGGACAACCGCCACTGTACTCCTCCAGCGCCCAGTCCTGCAACAACAACACCGTCACTTTCACTTAATTCTATTCTTTTCATGCTGTTTTTCTAATAAATTAATCCTTGAATTTCCTGTGTTCTAATTGTTTGATGATTGAAATTGTTGTCAAATTGACAATTTCCTTCGAGACGACTGCTGTTGGGAATTATGTTGATAACTAAGACTTCTGTTTCTTCAAAAGAAAAATACATTGTGTTGATTAAAGGTGATATCAGTAACTGGGATACTTTGGTCACATGACCCGAGTTCTGTGCTCTCAAAGATCCAGACTTCTGTTGATTCAGAAAGGGTCAAAAAGCACAGTCAGTCAGAGAAAGAGTATTAGCCACCATTAGGGATGTAAAAAACTATGAATTTTCATGACCGACCACCAAGCCTCATTAACCGGTTGAAACCGGTTAACCGCGTAGTTTAAAATAGTCCACGTTCTTTGAAATAACAGCCATTTCGAGCCGCGTACTTTTCATAAGTGCAGCTCTGCGTTCTACTGGATCAGAGTTGAGACAGCGGCGCCCAAACCCGCAACAGCTCCGGCACCTTTGCGCACAGAGAACTGCGGTTTTAATCTTCCCATTCTGCTGTGCTGCGGGTTAATACCAAAACTTTCTAGCAGCAAACGACGGCTCGTTCACATGGTCAGAGCAGCGAGTGACGAGCCGCGTCTCACAGGTCTTCACAAAAGTTTAAATACAAGTGATGTGTGTGGAGCTGATCCCGAGGACCATAAACACAAACATGTTCCATGTGGTTTGACTGGAGCCGCGTATTTGCGCGAATCCTTTGGGCTCCGTGACACAGAGGAGCGCGACAGACCGGTATGTGTATGTGTATGTATGTGTGTGTGTGTGTAAATGTAAGCTCCAATGTAGTTCTGACCCGCGCCAGTGTGCAACTTTGACGGTAACAGAGGGGAGAGATGATGCGTGTGGATGTTACGTATGGAGAGGGGGAAAGTGTGTGTGTGTGTGCGTGCACGCATGCGTGTGTGCATATGTGGCTCGTGCGGCGTGAGAGTCGTCCCGGAGTTTATAATACATTGGCGCACACAGCTAGATACAGACCCGCTCGTCACACCGTGCAAATAGGGCTTAAAATAGCGTTATTAAGAGACCTCCCCTCTCCCCTTTTTCTCTTTTTTTAACCGACAGCTTTGACCGGTTAACGCTGTGACGGTCAACCACCGGTTAAACGGTCGCCGATTTACATCCCTAGCCACCATGCTCCTATACTGTGGAACCAGCTCCCCATCTATATCAAGAAAGCAGAAACAGTCTCTACATCTAAGACCAGGCAACAATGTTGCTTCCTGCTCTGGACAGAGCAGTCGCATTCTCTTGCTGCTTCTCGCTTGCTGCTTTTTTATCTCCTTTAATCATTTTTGCTTACATTTTTATTCCACAAAACACGGATTACTCCTTTTTACAAACTTCAACACAAGATTGGTGGAATTTACCTAACTTACAGCATGTCGGGAGGACGGGAAAATAGAACAAAACTTTGCGACGGCTGTTTTTCACTCAAACAGGAGCTAAAACTTCTTCAAGACCGAATGTTTGTGCTTGAATCAGAATTGGGGCTGAACACAACAATACCAGTGAAAGGAAATGGACCAAATGGACAGAACGTAAGTTATGATGACGCTATTTCATTTCCCAAAATCAACAGAGACAATTGTTGGAACACATGTGGTGCCAAGCCCAAACAAGGCAAAGCTAATGATAACAAGAGTGTCATAATGCCACAGCAAAAATCTTTAATTACAAGAAACCGCTTTTCACCACTTTTGGAAGATGAATCAGCAGTAGCCTCTCAGTCCCAGTCTCAGTCTCATTCAAGGTCAAATGCAGCTGAGTCGCTCTTTATCGGGGATTCGGCGATAAGAAATGTAAATATGCGTAATCTCAAGGTTCACTCAGTACACTCTGCTAAAGTGGATGAGATAAGGCGGTTGGCTCCGAGGCTTCTGTCTGAGACCGGCGGGGTAAAAAGATTGTTGATCCACGTGGGGGCAGTAGACGTCTATGACAACACAAGTGAAAAGTTGAAACGGGATTACTCTCTCTTATTGGACGACCTTGCTAAAATGGACACAAAAATCGTTATCAGTGGCCCACTACCAAATGTGGACGGGAAGCAAATGAAATTCAGTCGTCTGTATCAGCTAAATACTTTCCTACTCAACGAATGTTCACGCAGAGGACTTGCCTTCATTGAGAATTTTAATCTGTTCTGGAATAGGCATGAGCTTTTTGAAGGGAAAGGGCCACATCTGAACACTTACGGAGTAAAAGTGTTGATGGATAACCTTTCTTTTGCCCTGAGACGTCAGCCTGCGCAGCGCGTGCAGCCATCGAAAGGGAGGAAGCCAACTCCAAAAGTCTCTGCACCTCCACCACCTCAAAGGATCTCAACACCACCACCACCTCGAAGGATCTCAACACCACCACCACCTCGAAGGATCTCAACACCATCACCGCCTCAAAGGATCTCAACACCACCACCACCTCGAAGGATCTCAACACCTCCACTGTCATCAGAAGCAGCTGCATCATCACCAGCAGCAGCTGCATCATCACCAGTAGCAGCACCAGCAGCACGACCACCACCACCAACATCCTCATCCCCAGCCTGCTCCAAAGCAGCCACGCCTTCTTCATCTACAGCGCCTCTGAAGCCCCCATCCTCACCCCAGCCTACAGCAGACAGGCCTGTGCTGGGGTTTCTTCAACCACCTGCCCCTCCATCAAAGACTCCCTCGCCACCTCCCATGGACCTGTCTTGGGTCCCCCCTGCCACGTCCACTCCATCAAGAGAGAATGGGGACACCTCCCTTTCTTTTTCATCCCCGCCTTCACTGTTAGACCTACCTGAACACTCTGCAGGGCTAATAAAATCGGCGATGAAGACTATTCCTCTCACACCCATATTAGCTCGATCTAGAGTCCTGTCCAACATGCTAAACCACTCCCCATATGTACCTCCAAAACCACCTAGGGTTTCCAATTCACCTACAAAAACCACCTCAGCCAGTCCCTCCCCTAACCTCATGACCATTCCACCCCCACTTCCCCCTCGTTCAACATCCAAAACCTCTGCCTCAGCCCACCCCGGCCCTAACCCATCACCTAAAACCCCTCCACCTCCCTGCCCCCCTCATTCAACACCCAAAAGCCACCCACCTCTCCATCCTCCTCCCCTGCCTTCCCCTTCCCCTCTTTTCTCTAAACACTAGGATGCACAGGGTCTCTGCTTCGCAGCCACTGGCAGTCTAGTTAGAGGAGAGACCCGGCTGGGGCCCTGTCATGAAGCCACCTGTGCCATTCCCTTAGTGATAACACAAAGAATACATTACAGAAAAACATCTGGAGTTAATCAGTCTAATCTGGAAAATCTAATTCTTGTTCCGTATAAGAATCAGCCGACCGCAACCGCTGATACTGAAACTTTGAAACTTGCTACGCTTAATGTCAGATCTCTTTGTAACAAGTCTTTTTTAATCAATAATTTTATTTGTTCTCATAATCTTGATCTTATGTTCATGGCTGAAACATGGCTTGACCAAAAATCAGAAAATGCAGTTTTAATAGAAGCATCACCACCAAATTTCAAGTTTGAATCTGAAATACGGGAAAACAAAAAAGGAGGAGGCTTAGCTGCCATTTTTAGAGACCACTTTGTCTCCCATAGAATGTCTCTTGGGAAGTTTTCGTCATTTGAATATGTGTCTTTTAAAATACAACAAAAACAATCTCCTCCAATACTCTTCGTTGTCCTATACAAGCCACCGCAGTCATGTCACAGTTTTATTGATAATTTTACCGAGTTGCTTTCAGTTGTATGCACAGATTTTGATAGTTTGGTTATTACAGGTGATTTTAATATTCATGTGGATAATGTTGATGACAGAAATGCAAATGAGCTGAGTTCTGTACTTGAATCCTTTGATCTCACTCAGCACGTAAGTGGCCCCACCCACAGCAGAGGGCACACTCTAGATCTGTTAGTTACAAAGGGGGTGATTATTTCAAATGTAAACGTGGTCGATGTTGCTCTTTCGGATCATTTCTGTGTTTTTTTTGACTTGTGTTTCACTAACAAACCACCAGTGGACTCTGCAACTGTTCGAAGAAGGCGCATAAATGAAAATACGAGTGAACTATTTATGGAAATGATAAACTTTGAGAATGCATCGTATTCTACTGTAGATGAACTGTTTAACTCTGTCACCTCTAGTGTTTTGAATGTTCTGGATACCGTTGCCCCTGTGAAGGTTAAAATAGTGAAAAATAAGGAGAAGGCGCCGTGGGCTAAAGCAGACTCGGTCAGGGCACAAAAGAGAAAGTGCCGGAGGGCCGAGCGGAAGTGGCGCAAGTCCAACCTCCAGGTAGATTACGAGATCTTCAAAGATAAGTTGTGCGAGTTTAACCGGGTGCTACGTAGTACGAGAGAAAGGTATTTTTCTGAAATGATTGAAGGCTGCAGCAACAATCTGCGTGTTCTGTTCTCAACAGTTAATAGATTAACAAACCCCCCTGTTCAAATGCCATTAGAGCTTACTTCCAAACGTAAATGCAATGAGTTTGCTAATTTTTTCAATGACAAGGTTCAAGGCATCAAAAACGCCATTGTCTCCAATCCACAGATAACCATCCAACAGCCAGAAAGGCTCTCTGAGCTAACTCACTTTGCACCTGTAAATAATAAAACTGTCCAAGAGATAATCTCCAGTTTGAGCTCCTCCACATGCAGCTTGGATGTACTACCCACTAGATTTCTGAAGTCTGTTCTGAGCAGTCTGTTACCTTCACTCACACAGATAGTAAACATGTCCCTTCATTCTGGAATATTCCCAAAGGCCCTGAAAACTGCAGTCATCAGGCCCCTGCTAAAAAAGAGCAGTCTCGATGCTACGGTACTTAACAACTATCGTCCCATCTCAAATCTGCCATTTATGGGGAAAGTCCTTGAGAAAGTTGTCTACCTACAGCTTAC